CAACCAGCCAGTTGTAAGATCCCTCACTTGTGAGTTTCAGTCAAATGTGCTTTAATTCCACACAGCCATGGGCAGGAGAACTAGTGTCTTTCTCATGACCCATTTTGTTCCTAAGGTTACTGAATTGTGTGCGTGTGCGTGCGTGTGCATGTGTGTGTGTGCGCGTGTGCGTGCGTGTGTGTGTGTGTGTGTGTGTGTGTGTGTGTGTGTGTTAAAGAAGGTCTTAGGATAGTTATCCACTCACAGTAGTAGTAGATTCTGGGTGTTGGTTGCAGTGAGGGAAAAGTTCTTGTGAAGCTGTGTGGTGAGAAGACAAGAGACACCAGGAGGCTGTAAAGGCATGGGTTAGCCGTGGGGACAAGGGAGACAAGAAGGTCAGGAATGGACCAGGGGTTTCTGATTGGCCACAGCCTGGGAGGACCCACGTGGCCTGGGGTAGAGGGAGTGCAGGGACCTGGGGGACATTGGGGAGGAAAGGGGACCCAGCCTGCACTGCTGCCTGGCTTATTTTGACCCGGGAAGAACTGGTGGGAGATGAAGGGGGAAAGGATATAGAAATGAATTTGGAGCAAGCTTTAGGAAAGGCGGAAAGCCGCAGAGGAATGAGGAAAGGCGACTATTAGCTTGAGAGTTGCCGCTGCATTTAATTTGATTTGGCTGTGGGCCGCTCCAGGAATGCTGGGGTGGCGACCTGCTTTGAGACAGCTTACCTGAGGTGTGGTGTTCCAGCCTCACCCTGGATGGATTCCGATGACATCTTGCCAAGACAAACCAGACACACTGTCTTTGATCACAGAGCTTCTAAGTAGTTTGACAGTAGTCATTGCTCTGAAGGAGGTACAGTCATGGTGAGACAGGAGGGAAATGCTGTTACTCCATCAAGTGCTGTGGACGAAGAGTGGATGGAGAGAGTCTCTGTGGAGAGAAGGACCACTGGGGCGGAGCTGGGTAGGGGACGGCCCCTTTGGCAGTGGTCTGGAATCGATCGAGTAAACTCCCTCCAGGATACATTGGAATCAAGGTGACAGTTGACCACGTCTAATTCCTTACTTAGATGGTGACAGATAATTTAGGCTCCTACGAAAATAGGCTTCCAGCAGATGGAAATGAAAACCTTCAGCCCTTGCTGGCACCCGTAGGGCTCAGCTGTTCTGAGATTTGAGCAATGAAGGGAATTGGAAGGGTTCTTTTTTTTTTTTCTCTCTTTTTTTTTTTTTAAAAAATATGTTTTTATTGATTTTGTACAGAGAGGAAGGGAGAGAGAGAGCTAGAAATATCAATGAGAGAGAGTCATCGATCAGCTGCCTCTTGCACACCCCCTACCGGGGATATGCCCGCAACCAAGGTACATGCCCTTGACCGGAATCGAACCCGGGACCTCTCAGTCCCCAAGCGGACGCTCTATCCATTGAGCCAAACCGGTTTCGGCTGGAAGGGTTCTTAACTCAAAAGCCACCATGAAAGTAATATGTTTGAGTAATTTTACCTATCCGAGTTATTTGGCTTTCTAATGGGGTCCAAATGTGATTGCTTAAGAGTTCTATCCTGATAACGGCTGATATTTGGTGGGATTTTCCAAGTTTCCAAAGCAGCTCCAGTTGATCTCTCAGTGGCTGAAAGAGGTGTATGTCCGGGGGGTCCTTCCCATTTGCTTGAGACCATTACTAATAAATTACAAGGCTACTTTAAGGTCACACACAGGAAGGGGCAAAGTCCTAGACTCTCAACAGCAGGATTTCTACCTCAAGCTGTATTTTGTTTTTACTCATTAAAAATTTTAAAAAATTTTGTGAAAATGCACATACCTAGACTTTATCATCTTAGCCATTGACGTGTACAGTTCAGTAGTGTTGAAGTACACCCACATGGTTGTACAACCAATCCCCACAGTTCTTTTCATTTTGCATCAGTATTTTATTAAACCCTGACTCCTCCCTTCCTTCCTTCCTGGTCACTCTCCTACTTTCTGTCTCTCTGAATTTGTAGGACTCCAACTACCTCATGTAAGTGGAGTCCTACAGTGAGGGTCCTGTTGTGTCTGCGCCATTTCACCTCCCCGCCAGCATTGTGCAAGGCTTCCGGTTTCTCTACCTCCTTGCCCACACTTTTCCATTCTAATGTGTGAGAGGTGGTATCTCACTGTGGTGTTGATCTGCATTTCCCTGATGGTTAGTGATGCTGAGCATCTTCTCCCGGACAAGCAGAATTTTAAAGAGGCCCTTTCAGGACCAGCTGGTTCATCATCTGGGTCAGTGGTCGGCAAAGTGGCTCGCGAGCCACATGCGGCTTTTTGGCCCCTTGAGTGTGTGTGGCTCTTCCACAAAATGCCACGTGCGGGCGCGCACGGACAGTGCGATTGAAACTTCGTGGCCCATGCGCAGAAGTCCGTTTTCGGCCCTCAAAAGAAATTTCAATCGTTGTACTGTTGGCTCTGTTGTCTGATGAGTTTGCCGACCACTGATCTGGATAAATTCCAGTGGTAACTGCCTGAGCATTTGCGAAGGGCACAACTGTAGAACAAATGAAACGGCCCAGTACATTTCAAACCTGTTTAGTGGTAAAGCTCACAGATTTATACTTTTGCTTTGGAAGGAAATTGAAACCTAGAGATGTGATATGACTGGCAAAAAGTCATGGAGGTCCAGAATCGACCTCGTAGAAGAGAATGCGGGGGAGAGGGAGACGATAGAGGCTCTGGGAACTCTAGGGTTCTCGGTATCATTGCTGGGACTAGACCCCACTCTTCCGATTCCTAGTCCAGGACTAGCAAAATCTGGAGCCCAGTTTCTCTTCCTGCTTCCTTAGTGACTCATAGCTGTTCATTTATTCATAAGCAGCTCTTGAGCACCTGCTCTGTCCCCAGTGCTGTGCTGGGGACAAAGCAGTTAAGGAGGTAAAGGTGATCTCTGCTTCCATGGTTGTTGTCTGGCTTCAGAAGTTTCCTTACCCTGGCAAAATCAGTAAAATGGTGCTAACCTTTGAGCTAGCTTTGCATATTAATTATTATCACTTAAATAATGGATAATGGCAGTGCATTTGCATAAGGTTTTTCTTGGGTCCTCTATAAAGTCATTGTTTTTTCCTTTTATAATTAAAAAGTAATTTGAGATTATGTGAATATTCCCTTCCACATCAAACTTTCATTGGTTTTTTAACTCCCATTGATAATTTCTTTTCTTTCTTTTTCTTTTTTGTTGTTGTTTGTTAATCCTCACCTGAGGATATTTTTTCCATTAATCTTTAGAGAAGGTGGAAGGGAGAGGGAGAGACAGAAAGAAATATTGGTGTGAGAGAGACACATAGATTGGTTGCCTCCTGCATGCACCACCACCAGGGCCGAGAAACCTGCAACCAAGGTATGTGCCCTTGACAAGGAACCGAACCCAGGACCCTTCATTCCGAGGGCCAACACTCTAACCACTGAGCAAAACCGGCTAGGGGCTCCCATTGGTCATTTCTAAATCCATTGTTCCTTCAACATTTATTTGCATTTGAGAATGCAAGCACTTTCCCTTCTCTCCCATTTGCAGAAGGTAAGGATTGGACTCTTGTTATAATATTTAAAGGGGTATGATCCATTGCCATTTATTTATCGTGATGCTCAGCGTATCCCAGATTTCCCTAGTGAGAGCCCTTCAGGCTGTCTCCTCTGACCTTTAGACATGTCCTCATGATTTCTTGGAGCTTTTCCTTATTTTCTGGTGTAAGATGTTTCAGGCCCGTCTTGTACTTTCTCTGCCTGTTTTGTGTTGGTCTGATCACTGGGAAGTGATGCCGTTGCTAGGAATGCTTGGGGCACTCACTCCTCACAGACATTTTCCCGTAGGAGCCAGTGCTGTAGCTGGACCAGCCCTTGTGGTTGGTAAAGTTGCCAGCTGCACCTCCACAGTGATCATCAGGGAACTTTGAAAAAAGATTAGGTGTTTACTCACAAGTCCTGCCTGGGGCTACGCAGCAAGGTCTTGGGGTTGGCAGAGTAGAGAGAGAAAGAGAGAGAGAGAGAGAGAGAGAGAGAGAGAGAGAGAGAGAGAGAGAGAGGATGAGACAGGAAGAGAGAGAGGAGTCATGAGTGTGAGCCTGGGGTTCTGCCTTTATTGGGATTGAGGGTGGGGCCCCTAGGGTGTTGTGGGTTCCCTCTTGATCAATTTAAAACGTAAGAGCGGGGAGTTCAAGTGCAGGAAGGGAAAAGCAAGTCGACAGTGAAAGGATCACTTATCTAGGTCAAGCAGAGGTTTCTGAACAAGAAAAAGGGAAGTTCATGGGTGGGTGGCCTGGGTTTTTATAGTCACGTAGCTGGCAATGTGTTTGACTTGAATGTCTTTGAAGTGGATGGCTTAGCAATCAAAAGCTTATGCTGCAATAAAAAAAAAAGCTGATTGTGATGTGCTTCCACTACGCTGGCCCAGCCTTGGAGCCAGTCATTTCTTTAAGGAGCCTCGCTTTCTCGGAGGCAGGAAAGGCATTAAAAAACGGAGACCTGGGCGCCTGCCTGGAGTGTTCTTGGACATCAGTGTGTCATTGTTTTCAGGCCCTCCCTGCAGACAGAGCCCGGGGTGGGGGTGGGGGTTGTGGGTGTGTGAGCACATATCTAAGATATCTCACTCTGACCTCCCTCTCCCCCCATGCCTGTGTATTTAAAATGTAGACTTTTTATTTTATTTTTATTTTTATTTAAAAATATATATATTTTATTGATTTTTCCACAGAGAGGAAGGAAGAGGGATAGAGAGCTAGAAACGTCGATGAGAGAGAAACATCAACCAGCTGCCTCCTGCACACCCCCTACCGGGGATGTGCCCGCAACCAAGGTAAATGCCCTTGACCGGAATCGAACCTGGGACCTTTCAGTCTGCAGACCGACGCTCTTATCCACTGAGCCAAACCGGTTTCTGCAAAATGTAGACTTTTTAAAAACAAAACTTATGGATGTAGAATTCTTAGACACAAATGTGTATTTTTTGGGTAGATGCTAATTCATTTTTCTCTCCATTTTTTAACAGGTGGCTAAACCCCTTGTTTAAAATCGGTCACAAGCGGAGGTTAGAAGAAGATGATATGTATTCAGTGCTTCCGAAGGACCGCTCAAAGGAACTTGGGGATGAGCTGCAAAGGTAAGCAGTAGGCCGTGAGGAGAAGGGTGTGGAAGGAGAGCCTCTAGGCTCTGATGGTTTGGAAGGGGTATTGCTTGCCTTCGGATCCTTCAGGAGAGTGGGTACACTGCCCTCCTTTCCCCTCAGGCTGTCCTTGGGCTTACCCTGCTTTGGCAGGTGGGTGAAACTGGAGTTGCCTGTGCATTTGTGGAAGTGGAGAGAGCCTCCAGCCAAAGCCCTGGATGCCAAGAACTGTCTGGGGAGGAGGTATCCCTGCAGGAGGTTGTCTAGACTCCTGTCTGCCCTCTTGGGCTGCTCCAGATGCTGAATGCCCTGCAGAACTGGCAGGAACTTGTTTCTTGAGACTGAGACTGTTTTCCTGGTGCCTCAGATACCGCACCCCAGATTTTGGGAGCTCAGCAGACAGTTAGCCAACATCTATTGGACAGGGTTGAAGTGCCCAGCAAGAGACGCTTACCTTTCCTTCTGTTACCCCCCTGGTTTGCCCTACGTGGCAGGGCGTGCTGCTCTTCACTGTGCTGTGTTTCTCGTCGCAGGTACTGGGAAGAAGAACTTTCGAGAGCCAAGAAGGTCCCACGGGAGCCATCTTTAACAAAAGCAATCATCAGGTGTTACTGGAAATCCTATGTAATTTTGGGATTTTTTACATTACTTGAGGTAAAAGCTTTTGTTTTTCGGGGCCATTGGGGAGAGAGGCAAGAAGTTTAAGTGGATAAAAGATGTATGGGACACACGATATCATTAGACTGAACAATTACTTAAATGACTGGACCTGGGAGGAGATTTTAATAAGATTTTAGTAAAATCTTCTATTCATTTTTTCTGTAAATTAAATAGAGTATTGTGGAAGGGCAGTCCTGAAAAGGGAAGACATTTCATACCATGTTAGGACACACGTTGGTGCTCAGTAAATGTTACAAACACGGAGTGGTTCTTGACCAGAAGAAGATCCCACGACCTCTGTAGCCCCTCCCCCCCTGGCCAGGCAACCTTCTCCTGCCCCCTTCCCCCTCCCCAGTTGGCCAACCTCCTGCAGCCTCTCCTGCCAGCTGGCTGGCCCTGAAAGGCTTTGATCACCTGCCAGGCCAAGGGATTCCACTTGTGCACGAATTCGTGTATTGGGCCTCTAGTTCTATATAATAAAGAGGTAATATGCAAATTGACTGTCACACCCTCACAAGATATTGCTGCCTATGACCAGGCCGGCAGGGGAGTTAGTGAGGGACAACAAAATGACTGAACAGCAGGCTGCATGGGGCAACCAGGCTAGCAGGGGGGCAATTGGGGGTGTTCAGGCCAGCGGGTGATTAGACTGGCTGGTGGGGGTCAGTGAAGGGCTACTAGGCTGGTGGGGAGGCAGTTGAGGGCGACCAGGCCCGCAGGAGGCTGCAGTAAGGGGTGACCAGGCCAGCGAGGGGGTGGAGGGGAGGGGAAGGTGGGCAGTTAGGGACAGGCAGGTGAGCGATTAGGAGCCAGTGTTCTGTATACCTACAGGTTTACAGAACAAAATAAAACAAAAGAAACTCCCTGGAGCAGAAAGGCAGACTGAGGATTATAAATTGGGGTGGCCAGGTCTCCTGAGTGCTGGAAGTGGCTAGGGTGTTGACGCTACTAGCATCAGCAGCATGGTGCACTCAGATGGATTAGGGCCTTGTAGAAAGCCACCTTCCACTCATTACCATCCCCAAGTGGATGTAGTTGTGACTGTGGCCTGAGTGACCTACCAGGCATACCAATTAATTATGCGGATTCTTTTCAATAGATGGAGTTACACATGTGTTGATATATATGCGATTTGATATGTATGTTATTTTGTTGTATTGACAGCGAGCTTCAAAACTTTATAATATGTCAAATTTTCTGAAGGTGTTAAGATAGATATTTTTATTCTTAAAAATACCTAATTTTGCCGAAACCGGTTTGGCTCAGTGGATAGAGCTTCGGCCTGCAGACTGAAAGGTCCCAGGTTTGATTCTGGTCAAGGGCATGTACCTTGGTTGCGGGCACATCCCCAGTTAGGGGGTGTGCAAGAGGCAGCTGATTGATGATTCTCTCTCATTCATGTTTCTAACTCTCTATCCCTCTCTCTTCCTCTCTGTAAAAAAAAAAAAAAAAAAAAAATCAATAAAATATATAAAAAGAAAATACCCAATTTTGTGCCAAAAAAGAGCATTTTCGGGAAGTTTAAAAAAATATATATATTTTATTAATTTTTTTTACAGAGAGGAAGGGAGAGAGATTGAGAGCTAGAAACGTCGATGAGAGAGAAACATCGACCAGCTGCCTCTTGCACACTCCCTACCGGGGATGTGCCCGCAACTAACATACATGCCCCTGACCGGAATCGAACTTGGGACCTTTCAGTCCGCAGACCGAAGCTCTACCACTGAGCCAAACTGGTTTTGGCCATTTTCGGGAAGTTTTAATTCATTACTTTATTTTGAAGAAAAGTGCTACTGAAAGTTATTGTATATTTCAGGAAGCTTATGGTGAACATGCTCCATCTCAAGATACTTGTGAATGCTGATTTCATGGGTGTGCTTGCTTGTTCATGCTGTGTTCAGGTGGTTTATGGTATAAAATTAGACAGTGGTCTAAATTCCCCAGATGAGCACGATGACTAGCATATGATGTTCATTTTAACTGTGTGTTTAAGATAATAACTGGCTGAACTCTTAGTTGTGATGCAGTGAAGTTCAGGGATCACTAAGGGTCATTAGAGCTCACCTAATTCTTTAAAGGTGATAATTTCAATGTGAAAGACAAAAAACGTCCAGGCCAATCAAAAGAAAAGTTGAAGACCAACAGTTAATAGGTCTAGTAATAATTAATGTCGTTTTCTAATACCTTTTTAAATCGAATTTATTTAAACAATACAACAAAATTTAATCAACAATATAGTTGCCGTTGTTTTCTACTACTTGTGCCCAACGCTCAGGAAGCATTTTAATCCCTCTGTTGTAAAATTCTTGTGATTTTGATGCAAAAAATTCGGTCAATGCATTTTTGAGGCATTCTTCATTATTAAATTTTTTTCCAAGAAGAAAGTCTTGCAAAGAATGAAACAAATGGTAATCGGAAGGGGCAATATCAGGAGAATATGCAGGTTGAGGGAGAACTTCCCATTCCAACTGGCGCAGTTTTTCAGCAGTGATTCTTGCAGTATGCGGTTGTGTGTTATCGCGGTGAAGAATTACGCCCTTCCGATTAATCAGCGCGGGTTCCTTTTCTCTTAAAGCTTGGGCTAACCTTTCCAATTGGGCACTATACACTGTACTTGGAATGGTTTGGTTAGATGGTAAAAGTTCATAATGAAGAATTCCTTTAAAATTCCACCAAACACACAACATCACTTTTTTCGCATGCAAGTCAGGTTTTGGCGTGGGCTGCGGAGCCTCATTTTTGTCCAACCATTGAGGCCACCTTTTCAAATTAACATACAGCACCCATTTTTCATCTCCGGTAACAATTTGCTCTAAAAACGGCAAACGGTTTTGACGAGAGAGGAGCGAACTGCAAATTGTGACTCTTTGATTACGGTTGTTGTCGGTCAACTCATGAGGAACCCATTTTCCAAACTTTTGGACTTTGCCAAGTGCACGCAATTGATTGGAAATTGTTTTTTGTGAACAATTTAAAGTTGTCGCAAGCTCTTGTTGGGTAATTTGAGGATTTTGCACCAAAAGAGCTTGAAGAGCTTCTTGATCAAAATTGGACACAAGGCCTCGACCACTCTTGTCATCTAATGAAAAATTTCCCTCACGAAATTTCTCAAACCAACGCTGGCATTTTCTGGCGCTAACTGCATCTTGACCAAGAGCACTACAGATGTTTTTTGCAGCCTCACTTGCTTGTCTTCCTAATTGGAACTCGTAAAGCATGCAGTGCCGAATATGCTCTTCATCCGCCATCTTCTTATCCCTAGTTTTGCAACAAAAACCAAACCAAACACAAACTTTTTCAAGCAAAACTTGTTAATTGCACTTCACACGTTCTGTAGATACCACGTGTTTGAAGGTTATGTCAATACAGTCAACGCCAAGCAAGATTTTAAACGAATGTTAAAAAATGACATTAATTATTACCTGACCCGATATAAGCATTATTGGACAAGGATGCGTGTCAAACTCAAAAACAAGATTAAATGTTGCTCAGCAATCAATTTTCGATAATTTACAAGCAATGGGAAATATTTTAAAGGAAGAAGATTGGGTGCCACACCAACTGAACGAAAGACAAATGGAAAACTGAAAAGTCATCAGTGAAATGTTGTTTCAGCGGCATGAAAGAAAGTCTTTTTTGCATCGAATTGTGACTGGAGATGAAAAGTGGATTTATTTTGAAAATCCCAAATGCACAAAATCATGGGTTGATTCAGGTCAACCATCAACATCGACTGCAGGCCAAATCTCTTCAGAAAAAAAGGCAATACTCTGCATTTGGTGGGATCAGGAAGGTGTGGTCTTATTATGAGCTTCTAAAATCAGGTGAAACCATTAATACTGATCACTACTGACAACAAATAATCCATTTGAACTCTGCTTTGATCATGAAATGACCAGAATGTGCCAGAAGACATGGCAAAGTAATTTTGCTTCATGATGCCGCACCATCACACCCTTCAAAACCAGTTAAAGACACGTTAAAAGATCTTGCCTGGAAAGTATTAACCCACCTGCTGTTTTCACCAGACCTTGCTCCTTCAGATTACCACTTGTTCCGATCGATGGCACATGCATTTTCTGAGCAGCACTTCAAAATGTACGAAGAAGTGGAAAATTGGGTCTCTGAATGGTTTGCCTCAAAACAAAAAAAGTTCTGTTGGGACAGTGTCCACAAATTACCTGAAAGATGGGGGAAATGTATAGCTAGCAATGGACATTACTTTGAATAAAGCTCTTTTTGATGTTTCTCTTGAAATTATCGTGCTTTCTTTGATTACAAAATCTGCATTATTAATTGGTACACCTTGTAAGTTCTCAAACATTCATTCACACTCTTAAGGCTCCATTCCATGTCGGCTCCTTGAGATGGACCCAAGACGTAGTGGTCTTGGATGGGACTCAGATTGTGATTTCTCAGGTTACTCAGCAGCAGCACTTGGTTGTCAGCTGAGAGCTGGTGAATTTATGATTGCACGTGCATGTGCTCAGCAAGGATGGGAATCCCAGGTCAGGCACTGGTGTTGAGGGGCAGTTCTGTCCCGATGTTTGAACAGACTTTGACATTGTGGGTTGTGCACCGGGTCTGGGGTGTTATGGTGACAGCTGGATGGAACCAGGCAGTGCTGGTAACAGACAAATCAGAGGTGAAGTGGTGTTGGGTTTTCTCCCAGGGGTGTGCTTGCTTGTTCATGCTGCGTTCAGGTGGTTTATGGTATAAAATTAGACAGTGGCCTAGATTCCCCAGATGAGCACAATGACTAGCCTATGATGTTCTTTTTAACTGTGTGTTTAAGATAATAACTGGCTGAACTCTTAGTTGTGATGCAGTGAAGTTCAGGGATCACTAAGGGTCATTAGAGCTCGGCCGGAAGTCAACCTTGAATTTTCTGTTTCTGGCAGCCAAAAGAAGCCTGGAATCCAACACAAAGACTTGCTTGTTGACACTCTGGTGTTTTGAAGATTCGGAAATGATTTCTTAGGGTGAAACACTAG